ACATAAATAAATTATTCTTCTACATGGAGAATCCCCAGGCACAATTGTACCAAATAGTGAATAAGGTGTTGGATCCAAAAGTTTCATTCTTCTAATAGTGGCACCTTCCTCCAGTGCAAGAGGCTTACTCCACCAGTGGAAGATTCCTTGCACCACAGGAAACTTCCAATGATAAAAGAATGGATACAACCAATATCCAATAAATGCTTGTTCTTTTGCAATCTCATAATAATTTATTTTCATTCTCCTTTCCCAAATCCATTTTTCCCCTCTAGGAAATATGATGCACTAAAATATGGAAGAAGATAATAAAACAATTGTGACTGAATTCATCCTTCTGGGATTTCAGAGCACTCCCTCCCTAGAAATTCTGCTCTTCGTTGCCTTCATCTTTGTATATGTACTAACAATCACAGGTAATGCCTTAATAATTGTATTAGTACTGACCAATCACCACCTTCAATCACCCATGTATTTTTTCTTGAGTAACCTCTCATTCCTGGAGCTCATGATCACTTCCACTGTCATGCCTAAGATGCTAGTAAATTTTATCACAGGGAAGAAGACCATTTCCTTTGTGGGCTGCCTTACACAGTCATTCTTTTATTTCCTCATGGGCTCCACTGAATTCTTCATCCTGGCTGCTATGTCCTTTGACCGTTATCTGGCAATATGTTACCCATTACGTTATGCATCCATCATGAACAGCAGGGTCTGTTTCCAGCTCCTCTTGGGGTCATGGACTGGTGGCTTTTTGATCATTCTAGTTCCCAGCATCGTGACAGCTGGCCTGCCATTCTGTGGCCCAAACATTGTCGATCACTTCTTCTGTGACAGTGCCCCTTTGCTCAAACTTGTCTGTGCTGACACATCACTGGCTGAACTGGTTGACTTTGGGACCTCTTGCATACTGCTCTTGGGCTCACTTCTTATAACAGTTGTGTCCTATATTTATATTATTATTGCTGTCTTGAGGATACCATCAGCAAAAGGGCGAAAGAAGGCCTTCTCAACATGTGTATCTCATATGACTGTGGTTACAATGTATTATGGAAGTTCTATCTTCATCTATGTCCGTCCTACCAAAGGGAATGTTCTGGATTTCAATAAAGTAGGCACTGTGTTGAATACAATGATGACTCCTATGCTAAATCCTTTCATATATAGTCTCAGAAATGAGAGAGTAAAGGATTCCTTGAGAACTATCCTCAAGAAGGCCATTTGTGTGTAAAGTGCCATCAAGTCACAGCCGACTTATGGCAACCCCATAGGGTTTTCAAGGCAAGTGAGAAGCAGAGGCGGTTCACCATTGCTTTCCTCTGCAAAATGTTCCTTGGTCGACTCCCATCCATATATCGACCTTGTTTAGCTTCAGAGATTTGATGAGACTGGGCTGTATTATACCAATCCACATCCTGAAAAAGCCCATGCGTGTTTATAAAGTGCTGTCAAGTCACAGCTGACTGCTGGGAAACCAATGAGGGGCTTTCAAGGCAAGTAAGAAGCAGAAGTGGTTTGCAATTGCCTTCCTCTGCACAGTCTTTCAAGAAGACCATAGTTGTTCTACAAAAGTGATCAGGACACCTAGGGCACAAGTCAGCAGAAACAGCAAAATTACATAGATGGAACTTATAAGTGGGGTTTCAATGCAAATTTTGTTGCAGTGGATAAAATATGGGACTAACTGGGGAGACTCGGGTTCAGAGTTCCACTAAGCAATGGAGTTTAATAAATGATTTTGGGCTAACCCTAGCTACTCCTCTGAGTTGTTGTGAAGTCTCTCCAGTTAGTCATGGGAATCATGTACTTGCAGAGTTAATAATGAGTTGTGAATTGTGTCAATTTAAAAGGCATTGATATATGTAATGTTAAAGTTCTTGTTGAGGATGCTGTTTCAGTCTTTTTAGAGAAACCATCCAAGGCTCTAACAGTGTGGTGTGATTTGCTTTGTGTTTAAGATGTGCTTTGCATTATTTAAAACATAACATTTTTTGTAATATATTGTGTGTTGGATCATGCATTATGAAGGTGGATTTTTTTGGTATGCTAAACCTATGGATTGAATCCAACCATCTTTTCTGAAGATGAAAAAAAAAGTAGGTGATCTGCTTTTTGATCACCAAATAAACTATAATGGGGAAAATGGGGCCTGCATTAAAAAGCCATGTAGGACTGGGCTATGATAAGAAGGAGAATTTGGTTAGATTGACTGCATCCAATCCCAAGCATACCACTTCTCAGAGTCATCATTGGGAAAAGTGTAATGGATAAACAGGCATATTTAAATCCTGTGTTCATATGCCACTTACAAGTATTTGAAGTCAGCTGGGACACATCCTTAGTGGCTAGATGTGCAGGTGTTGAACTTTGCATACCCATTTTGTAATTAAATACTGATTTCTAATAACTTCATAAAATAAAAATATTCTAAAAGTGTCATTGCTATATTTGGTCTTCCCTCCATTCAGGTTGACTTTGTTTGTTTCAAATAATATATTTGATGCAAAATGCTAGATTCCACTTTAAAGAATTAAGACCAATGATCATAATCGGTTGAATCAAATCACTTCATTGTTTGTTGGGTCAAATGACTCTGGGTTATATTCAACCTGCTTTTCTGCTGGTGAAAACGTATGGATGGGTCACCTTTGATTGCTAAAAATGCTATGTTGAACATCATTGGACCTGCATGGACCTAAAACATTATTCATTATTTGTTTGTTTATTTATTACATTTTAAGTCACCTCTCAACCAAATGTTCTCATGGCGCTTTACAACATTAAAACCAATAAGGTGAAAACAACATAAAAACAAATAATAAATATTAAATATTAACAGTAAAATATTAAAATACGTGACTATCACCATACCATCATTAAAACAGATCAAACATGTGGTTACCTTCCAAAGGTCAATCTAAACAATTCAGCTTTGCATGCCCTGTGGAAACTAAACAAGTCCACAGGGCACAGATGGCATCCAAGGGTGCATTCCACAGTGTAGGGGCCACAACTGAGAAGGCCCTTCTCAGCTAACAGTCATCCCCTGGGATGGGGACCACAGAAAGTAGGGGAATTGGTTGAGACAGAGCAACCCCCCCACTACCAAAAGGCTAGCTGCAAACATCTGTTCCATTTAGTGAGCTATGTGAGTAGCCCTTGTGTTGTTCTGACATCAGATGCCCAAAGTGGTTCTCACTGAACAGGCCCAAAGTCTTGTTCAGGTTCAGGCTTAAGATGGTTAGATATCTATATATCTATATCTACGTATACACATACACACAATCTGTTAAAGTGTTAATGAGATAGATTTCATTGCACCTGACATATGTGAATGCAAAGAGTCACCAAATTTTAGAATTTTCATATAGCAAATATCCTCTATCAGGTGAAATGAATAAATTGGACTGCTGGCAGAGAAAGAGTTACTTTACTGTTCTGGATAAGGGGCATACAAGACCAATTCATTTATTCTTCAGATTTGGCTCTGTGTGTCCTGGGAAGTGAGGTACAGAAGGAAAATATACTGTAACTACCCATCCATCTGATCCACCATTTGCAGCTCTGACACTGCTCTCCATCCACACGCTTGCATAATGTAAGAATAGGGAGAATTCTAAGGAATATTCATTTGCTTCCTTGGCCTGGAGTTTTCACATAATCTATATATCTAATAGCCAACTTGCCCCCTCTGCCTGGGGGAGAGGGGAGGGCCGCCGGGTTGGGAGGGGGAGGGGGGAAGGGAAACAGCGAGGGGCGAGCGGAGAGCCCGCTTGCCCCTGGCTTCACTGCGGGGTTGGGAGGGGGGAGGGAAACAGCGAGGGGCTTCAAGGCAAGTGTGAAGCAGAGGTGGTGTGCCATGGCCTTCCTCTGCTGAGTCTTCCTTGGAGGTCTCCATTCCAAGCACTGACCCAGCTTAGCTTCGAGATCTGACAAGATTGAGGGGGGAACCGGCAGGATGGGTGGGAACTTACCTCCTCCTCCTGCTTCCTCCTCTTCCTCATAGGTGTGGAGCTCCCCCTCTCCCGCGAGTATCGCGGGTCCCCCACTTGTTGCTATATATTTCCAGACTACAGCTATCAGTTCCCCCAGTTGCCTGCTTATGGTAGCTGAATTCCTGCCAGAAGCCCTCCCCTGAAAATCGATCTATCAAGAGTGGAAGAAAAATGGTGGCAATGCTCCATTATTACTCTCTATGATAACTGCAGAGACAAGGAGGGGAAAAAAATCATACAGTGGTCAGTTCCACCTAGAATTAAAACTTGACTTGTATCACCAGACCATGTGAAGTTCTGAAAGAAGGGAGAAGTGTGTTCAGCAGCAGCTCTCTCATAAGTATGGATTTTATGCCACAAACACACTTTCTTAGCTGTTCCATGGTTGCAAAAAGGATCAAATCATCTTTGGCTACCAAAAGGCTGGGTGAGGGGGGAGCACTCATGGGAACTACAAAAACAGAACTCAGGAGAAATTGGCACGATTTAGCAAAAGCACCAGCCAAAGCAAACCCATTATTTTGATTCTTTTATTGGGAATGACAACATTTTCCTAATCAGTTTTCTAACAGCATCTTTCATTTCTCTGTTTCTCAGAGTAAAGATCATTGGATTTAACATTGGAGTGATAAGGGTATAGCAAACAGAGGCTATTTTGTCACCTGGAAATACCCGGAAAGGACGGCCATATATGAACATTCCTGGAATAAAAATTAAGCTCGTAACGATGATTTGTGCAGCACATGTAGACAGGGCTTTGTGTTTCCCTTCTGTGATATGTGTTCTGATCTTTATCAAAATGACAGTGTATGATACTAGTAAGACACAGAAGATTAGTGTGAGAAGAAATCCACTGTTCGAAACCATCAGTAGCTCTGTGATGTATGCATCTGTACAAGCCAGTTTGATGAGCTGTGGGACATCACAGAAGAAATTGTCCAATATATTGGGTCCACAGAAGGGCAGCTGAAGTATTAATGCTACCTGTATAATGGAGTGGGCAAAGCCACCCAACCAAGCACCTGCCACCAAACCAACACATACTCCTGGATGCATAATAAGCAAATATTGCAGTGGTCTGTAGATCGCTATGTATCTGTCAACAGCCATTCCTATTAGAAAAAAGGCCACAGCTCCTCCAGTAAAATGGAAGAAGAAAATTTGGGCAATGCACCACCTGTAGGAGATTGTATTTCTATGGGTGATGAGGTCCCACAGCATTTTGATTGCAGTCACTGTGGAGTCACTGATATCTATGACAGCCAGGTTGGCCAAAAGGAAGTACATGGGTGTGTGGAACTGAGGCATGAAAATCACGGTAATGATGATTGTCAGATTCCCCAGCCACGTTATGATGTAAATGGTGAGGAAAAGGAGGAAGAGGATGGTCTGCACCCTCGGATTCTGAGAGAAGCCCAAGAGAATAAATTCTGTTACTGTCGAATTCATTGCCAATGTGAAAAGTGAGGATTTAATTTCTGTGTATTACATGCCCAGATTTTACCCAGTTCATTATTTTAAGTGGTCTATCATTTTTTGTGTTCAGTCATATGAGAAAGTGAACTTCTGTTCATTGGATCAGCTCAGCATGTTCTTAATTAATCTCAATCATAGTTTATCAATCAGTCGAGACACCAGGAGAGTTCACTGTATGTGTGGAGCCAAATGTTCAATGCTGAAACAAATGTAATCATAAAGCAAAATTAGGTGCTTCAAAAGCATAAATCACGCTACCGTCCTATATCTATAGTTAGGCTACCGTTCACATTAACTTCAATGAGATCCAAAGCAATGTAGGCTGTAATTCGATGAACACTTTTTTCCTGAGAGTAAACCCCATGAAATAAAATTAGACTCTCTTATGATTATTCATTGGATTACTTTCCGAATTGTATAGTATACAATTGCCTTCTCTAGTGAGAGGAAACAAAACATGTTATCACTGTAGTTATTGTGTTCATATACAGCCAGTGGATAAAACCATTAGTCTATCCCCATCATGTACCCCAAGATGGCTTCTTTCTTACTGGTTTGGGAAATGCATTAATGAACCCACCTTGCTTTGCGTAAATGCAGAGCCCACCTTGCTTTGTATGAACATAATATATATACCCCACATTTTTTAAAAAAAAATGTATTTGTTTATTGAAGTTTAAAATAAAATACAATGAAGTGCTTAGTAAAGCATGAATGAAAAACAATTACAAAATTAATATTAAGCTGGTGGTGAATCGAGGATTGCCATTACAAGTTATCTGCCAATTTTGAGCTGATCAGTCATCATCATCATCAATTCTTTATTTGGCCTACGACCAGTACAAGTCAGTTATAAAAGCTTTACAATGTCATTAGAAAGTAAAATTGATCCGATCTATTGGCAACAATTAGTTAAAATCTGTACATAAAATATCTCTAAGAATTCTACAGGCTACTGAAAAAAAATTGGCACAACTAATGGTAACCTGTTGATTAGCACCCATTAAAAATTTCTTTAAAATATATACATCTGAACATCCAGAAAAATTGATAAGCAGAGGGGAAATTATATTAGAATGAACTTCCTGATAGAAGCGACAGTGGAATAACACATGCTCGACTGACTCCACCTGTTCAGTGCCACACAGACAAATACTTTCCTTCATGTGAATCTTTTTATATCTCCCCTCTAAAACTGCAGAGGGAAGGACTCGCCATCTCGCCAGAGTAAAAGCTCTCAGTTGACTGGGTACCTCCAGAACAGAGAGATAAGGTGCCGGGGCAACAACATATTTAAGCTTCTCGGGTATCAGAGAGTTTGGAACATTGTTAATGTCTCTCGTCATTCTACATCAAGCAAGTTTTATTTGATCATTGATTTTGCTTGATCAAAACCCATTTGCAGGAAAAATTCAGGAGAGAAACCCAAATTCTGCAGGTTGAATGGCCTTCTCCCAAGAGGATTGGAAATAGTCTTGCAGGACTAACGTTATTAAACCCCATGGGTTATATGATAATTTTAACCAATAGTTAATGGAGGCAAGGCTTACCCTGGCCTCTACCTTAATCATGCCTGACTCGAGACGTAAGCTGGCATTGGACACACAGCTTGGCACCTGAAATAAAGCTCTCAGGAATCTTGATTGATTTTTTTCTAACGGGGCAAAGTGGGAGGAGGGGGGTCCAAGAGTTTCTCCATACATTAATTGGGACAATGTTTTTTGCCTGAAACAACCGGAGGGCTGCTTCCCTTAGAGCATGCAAATCTAAGAATGGCCTGTGCAGATTTTTGACCAGTTGCTGCAGCATACACAGGGTAGTTCTACTCCCTGTGGAGTGAATCATCACCCCTAAGTATTTGAAATAAGGTACTTGTTCCAGCTTATGGCCATTGATGTTCCAGGACCTTCTTTTCTGACCTTTGCCAAATACAACAATTTTAGTTTTGTTTTTTTACCATAAATTTTATTGAATTATTCATATAAACACATGAAGAACAATTTTAGTTTTTTGATAGTTAATCAAAACTATAGCTAGAGACTCTTTGCAATAACAACCAGGGGTCATTTCCCGCGGGAGTGCACAGGAGCGGAGCACCGGAAGTAAATAGCTCAGGGGGCGGGCACATGCAACAAGCCCCACCCCCTGCTCCCAGCAGCCCTCAGTCAGAGCAAGAAGCAGCTAGGTAAGTTGCAGAGCCAAAACAGTTCAGTGGCAGCTTTAAGACCAAGTTTTATTCAGGTACAAGTTCTCCCTCTTCTGTGCAGACAGACCTGCACGTTCCTCCCCCCACCCAATAGCTAGCCATCCAAAACAGTCCAGTGGATCCTGAGAGGTGGGTGTTGCCTTCTGACACACTTCCGGTGATGTCAGGGGGCGTGGCCTATGAAAATGAGTCATGCTAATGAGCTCCTGCACCTCTTTTTCTACTAAATGACCCCTGATAACAACTGAATGCCTTAAGCATTCTTTTCAAGCCCACTGGGGTTCTGGACAGTACAACTGTATCATTGGCAAAAAGCAAAGCCAGGATTTTCCTATTGGCTAAAGCAGGGGGGTGGGTTTCAGTGGAGCTTATGCTACTGATCAGATTATTAATGTATAAATTGAACAGCACTGGTGCCAGGACACACCCATGTTTTACTCCTTTAGCTGTATTTACCAGGTTGGAAAGGTGCCCAGCCCTATCACATCTAACTTTAAGTGATGTATTTGTATAGAGAGTTTGCATTAAATATAAAAGTCTAAGATCTATGTTCATAGCTTTCAATGTTTCCCACAACAAGCCCCTAGATATGGTATCGAAAGCAGATCTCAAGTCAAGGAAAGCAGCATATAACGAGGCAGACCTACTAGATGCGTATTTCTCTATTAGACATTGCATAGTTATACATTGACCCAGTGTAGAACCCTCCCTGAAGCCTGCCTGTTCCAAAACAAGGATATCTAATTGTTCAATCCAGCATTTCAATTTGTCCAGTAATAAAGCTCCCGGCGACCCAGCAACGCCGCTGGTCGTTGGGGGCTGATATGCCACCCTGAGGAAGGCAGGCAGCAACTGTAGCCACAATGCCTTGTGTCATGATGTGGGCGAGGGGGTGGAGCTGGCTTGGATAAACAGCCAGGCTATGCTCCTGCCCGTTGACATTTTTTCCAATGTGCTCACCCACCCTCCTGGCCTGTTCTTAGTGTAGCTTATGGCTAGTTGCCTATTGGGGCCAGGTAGGAATGTTTTGCTTTTACCCAGTAGTGGCTGAACGGGTGTAGGTGTTTTTGCCTACCTTGCACTGAGAGCAGTGGATTGGATAATTGGTTGTGGTGGTTGACACCTAAATAGGCTGGTCATTTTATAGGTTGGTGCAGGCAAGATACCAGAACCAGTGAGCACCTTACGGCATTTTCCCCGTTAGGGAACAAGGGGTCATCAGGAACTGCCTTCGGATTTCTAAGGTCCATGGTGGGGAATGGTGATCACCTCCTCTGGGAACCATTGCATAGTTATACATTGACCCAGTGTAGAACCCTCCATGAAGCCTGCCTGTTCCAAAACAAGGATATCTTCTTGTTCAATCCAGCATTTCAGTTTGTCCAGTCACAAAGCTCCTCCCGGCGACCCGGCAATGCCGCTGGTGTTGGGGGCTGATTTGCCGCCCTGAGGAAGGCAGGCAGCAACTGTAGCCACAATGCCTTGCATCATGATGTGGACGAGGGGGTGGAGCTGGCTTGGATAAACAGCCAGGCTCTGCTCCCGCCCATTGACATTTGTTCCAATGTGCTCGCCCACCCTCCTGGCCTGTTCTTAGTGTAGGCTATGGCTAGTTGCCTATTGGGGCCAGTTAGGAATTTTTTTGCTTTTACCCAGTACTGGCTGAATGGGTGGAGGTGTTTTTGCCTACCTTGCACTGAGAGCAGTGGATTGGATAATTGGTTGTGGTGGTTGACACCTAAATAGCCTGGCCATTTGACAGGTTGGTGCGGGCAAGAAACCGGACTGAATGGGTGGAGGTGTTTTTGCCTACCTTGCACTGAGAGCAGTGGATTGGATAATTGGTTGTGGTGGTTGACACCTAAATAGCCTGGCCATTTGACAGGTTGGTGCGGGCAAGAAACCGGAACCGGTGAGCACCTTATGGCATTTTCCCCATTAGGGAACAGGGAGTCATCAGGAACTGCCTTCGGATTTCTAAGGTCCAGGGTGGGGAACGGTGATCACCTCCTCTGGGAACCTCTTAGGGTATGCTCCTCTCTGCAAGTTGGAAGGCTTCAGGGGTAGGCACTCCTAAGTGGCGACCAGTTTGCTGGGCTGCCGGTCATGAGCCAGACCAATGGCTCAGGACCGGAGCTGGGTGGCAAGGAGGTTGGTCAGGGGAACGACACCAGCCTTGCCTGTTCTGTGCTCGCTTAGCTGGTCCCTTGCCACAATGTTATGTTAAATAGTTAATAACCCACCTGTTCCAAAACAAGGATATCTTCTTGTTCAATCCAGCATTTCAGTTTGTCCAGTAAATGGCTAGTGTATAATTTGCCTATAATGCTGAGGAGACTTATAGGTCTGTAGTTAGCTGGGTCATCTCTCCTCCCTTTCTTGTAGAATGGTATAATGATTGCCTGCTTCCAGTCCTCTGGAATACGACCTGTTGAGTCAATGTATGAGAAAAGTGAGGCTAAAGGTGCTGCCCACCACTTGATGTTGTTCATTAGGAAATCTGAGGGTATATTGTCAATACCAGGGGCTTTTCCTTTCTTTAATTGCTTTATAAGTGCTGTGACTTCTTTTGTTGATAAATCGGATAAATCTGATGTTATTTGTAAGTGCAGATCACACAAACTCACTGCAAAGATCTTTCGGAAGTAAGATTCTCAAACATCGGTCATGATTACTGAGTCCAAAGGAGAGAAGTCCTTGAAAGAGTGCTTAGAAGCCAATTTCCAAAAAAGTTTGGAGTTTTTATCTTGCTCCTGGGTCAATTTTCCCCATGTTTCCATTTTATCTGCTTTTCTCTTTTTAGCCACAGTTAATTTGTATGATTTCTTTCCATCTAAATAGGTTTGATAAAGAGCTCAGCTTTCTAAGTTGGATGTGGATTTGTAGACATGGAATGCAGAGATACAGATTCTTTTGGCATCTTGACAGTCCTTGTCAAACCATTTCCTAGAGGAACGTCCAGATTTCTTAATTTGTGATTCCGTGTTTTACAGTATTAGGGACTTTAATCTTTGAATGATGTTGTCATAGGGAATTAAGGGGTTCTCTCCCTCTGGGCAGTCAATGATGGCTGCTCTATTTGCCATACATTCCTCCTCAATTAAATATTTCAATATTTGATCTAATTGGGGTGTCCACTTGGCACGACAGCCTGTTTGTTCTGTTGGTATAATCTGTGTCTGGTATAATTTGGTATAATTTGAGCTTTAAGGTAACTCTTTTATGAACTGGCTTTTGTGAGCAGAGTAAGATCCAAGTCAGAGCAGAGACATCTGTAAGTTATATCCCATAATCTCTGTAGTTTCCACCTAAATGAAAAGACCTCACAGGTTACGGTGCTTACCACCATAATGGCAAAAGAAAGAATGAGTTAATGCTAAGTATCACCCTACCTCTGGAGTACTGTAATCTTATGCTTATGAATAATGTGAGCATCTGAGCATCTTCATTTCTATATCATTTGTTGTAGATAGGCCTTGTTCCCCCATTCCACCCATTTCCATCAATCGTATTCCCAAGTCAGTTGTTTCTTTTATGCCCTATGCACAGTTTCTGTGTCAGTCACCATTTATATGCTAAAATAGAATTAATAAACATGTATATTTAATTGGGGGGGAAATCAGGAAAACAAAATGGAAAATGGTGCAGATCTTCAGATTCTCATGCTTTATCAGCACATGACATCTTTGGAGCAAACATCGGTCATGAGTAGAAATTCAAAATCACCCCTAATTTAGATTTAGCTCTTACTTTTTTCTTCCTCTATAAATCAATGCAAAAAACAGTGGTCAAACTGTTTTGTGCCAGAGATAAGAATCATACTCACTTGTTCT